ATCACAAAATCAATATAATCACATTAATTCATTTACCAACCTTTTTAATACTTATTTCAATTCTATATAATCACAATTGTATTATAATCACTATCACAAATTTGTATTAACGATCTATATAAATTGTTTTCTATAAAGTTACATTTTAAACTGGCCAATAATAATTCTTGATTTATAACCAATTAGAATGAGCCATGAATTACAAAGTACTTGCATACCAGATAATAGAGCTTCGATCCTTAATACGACTATCTGAATTGATCTTTAAATCCAGGTAGATTCAGATATTTAGATTAAAGATTTTTATTCGGATTGGCCAAAGAACTTACTTAATGAACCTAAGGATATGCTACAAAGCTAGCTTTATATGTAATCTAACACAGGTTCAATCTGGATTTAATAGAATCTGGATTGCTTGTCAAAAATAGGATTGAAGCTCTACCAGATAATAAAACGTAATAGTAAGCATGTACGTACGTACATACCAGTATAACTTAAAATCATTGAGTAAAATTGATCTGAATATTAATATTTTTGAATGTAAAAGCTAGGCTCGCCATCGTTACCATTCTAACATGTGCACGCCATTTAGTACCCTTAAGTTTTATATTTGAGTGCATAAAAGCGAAAACCTATAACTATTTTTAATAATTTTTATAGGTTTTCACTCTCACGCATATTGAGTTTGGAACTTTTTTTTTTATAGTAAATGTGAAATTTACAGTTAAAAAATTTTTTGTCAGACAAGAATCAATAAACTAATGGAAGTTATAGATCAAGTATTTATTTCTTTCAAAAAAGCATGTATTTCAGAAATAAATGAATTCCTCATTAGCTTTAAGTCTATCGAAGATGTTATTATTAACAATGGATTTGAAATTGGTTAATTCACTGTCCTGTACTGGAAGATCTTTCTTATGAACTTGCCACTGCAAGTTAATTAAACAAAGCTGATCATACCATTACTATTTATGATTGTAAGAATAAATTTGGTATATAGACTATTAATGCATGGTTACTGAAAAAAATTTGCCAAAAAAATCTTTTGTATAAGGAGGAATTGAATGCAACTGTTAATCTAACAAAAGTAATTTTTATTTACTCAGTAGAATCAAATATTACAAGGTTAATATTTCTACATGTTCAATATGCAATTGTAAGAGTATCATATATAACTCTTTGTTCCAAATTTTTTTTTGCCTTTTTTTTTTTTTCCTAAGTATTCGAGTAATTTATAACATCTAAGTTATAGCTGTTTCAATCATTAAGACCAAAGAAAGATAAAATTGAAAGTTGCTTCTTGTTTTTATCCTTTTCATAATACCATTCTTTAAGTTTTTTTCGCAGTGCCATTAGTTCATTCTCTTTAAACCCTTTTCTGACTTCAAGACTTTCTTGATATCTAATAACCTTTTCCAAGGCTTCTACAGCTTCAGTAATAGTTATAGGAGGAGAAGGGGATCTTCATCATCGTTATTTTCAGCTTCATCTTCTTCTTTATCAAACTCATAATTTATTATTTTTACAATACCTTCATCTGTTAATATATCCTTTGTTATAACTGGTTGATCGATCAGGTTTGTATATTCTTTAATATTACTTATTAGCTCTTGAACTTTGGGATTATTCTCAACTGAAAGATTCTCTAGTAGCATATCAACATTATCGACCTCAGAGATTACATCCTCAGGTTCGTTTTCTGGCCTATTTTCTTGTTCACTTTCTTTTGACATAATTTCGGTGGCCTTCTAGCAATTTTTTATGGTAGTGTCGCTAACTTCATCTCATACATCAGAAATAAAATTGATAGCTTGTCATAGAGTAAGTTTTCTATATT